GACCGTGGGAAAAAGAGAAGAAAACAAGAGCCCGGAGGCAAAGGCACGAAGCGCGCCCACGGCAGAACAAAGCATGGCAATGTTCAAGGCTTGCCATGGCTGCCGAGAAAGCTGAAGCCACAAGCACAAGCTACTCAACCTCCCATTTGGAGCTTGGGTTGCAATTTGCAAGGAGCTTTGGATAGCGCAGACGTCTGCCAAGGGTTCAACAGCTGCATGCCACTCGTCCAAGTCATCAAGATTGCCGAGGGCAATTTCGATGAAAAGAGCAGTCCCTGGAAACAGCCACAAACATTCCGATAACCAGACATCACAGGAAAGAGATGGTCAACGCATTGACATGCTCCAATATGCACACAGAAAGAAGCTGAAAGCACCCACGCCCAGGAGGATTCCAGGTCTGAAGCTGAGCAAGGTTTGGGCTTGGCAAATTGAAAGGTGAGAGAAACCACGACCTGAAATCAAGTGCTCGGTCCTTTTGAGCCAGGTGCTGGTCCTTGAGAAAGTGACCAAAGTTGGAAACTCAAGAGTGCTCTTGGCGCAACATGTTTCCTGCTTTGCTTTGGCATCGCTCCCGGCATCCGTTAGGGCCATGGCGGGGGGAGACTGCTTTTTCCTAACACACTGTAAGATGGCGCTGTCAGGTTGCTTCACTTGACTGATGTTGGCGCATCAAGGCACAGGAAGCGCTAATGATTTTGCTCGGCTGGAATGGTCGATTTCCGACAAAAAACATGCTTAAATGAAGCACAAGACAGAAACTAGATTTGTTATCCACCATTAATAAGTGAATGAAGAACTTTCAAAAGGTGTCTGAGCCTGTTGTTTTGGTCTGCACCGTGGATTCTCCACAGCCCATCTGAGGCGAGCAACTCCTCCAGCACTGACCGCGCATAGACCAGCAGGTGGCTGTAGCTCAACAGCGCGGTGTCTTCCGGCACCAGGAAGTCTGTCAGTCAGTAAGCACAAAGCCATCCGGAGTGTGATGAATTTTGGGGCAAGCAAACAATCCGTTGTTGCGAATTCCAGCTTGGGCAAAGGGCCACAAGTCACCAAAACGGAGTTCTGCGAAGAACAACAGCTACAAGCCAGAAAGCCAATGTTTGGAATATCATGGATTGACAATGGCCGTTCTGCCAAGCAAGAACACACATACGAAGGCAAAGAGCTTCTGCAAAGGAACGGCCTTCGAACTTTGCAAAGCCTTCTGTGCTCCCCCCGCTTGATCCCCATGGATGATTTTATAATATATATCAAATGGGTATGCCCAGTTTTGATAGAAAATTGATTCCTAGAGTGACCAGGCCGTGGCAAGGGGGCAGGGCAGCCGCTGTGTGCGCGTATTGAGAACAGCCTGGTGAGTTCAACCTGAAGTGCATTTTTGCTTCCAGGGGAGATCCTCAAAACGGATAAAATGAAAACCACCTGGGCCGAGAAGTCATTTGGAGACCCCTCAACATGCTCCCTTCACATCCAAAGGACGGACGGAGACCCGTTCTTCTCATTCTCCAAGCGGCTGTAAGAGTCAAAGCTCACGTTGCCCAGCAAGCTCCGGTTGGTGCCCTCACGGTCCTGAGGCTAAGCCAAAACAATGGCAGAGCCAAGTACTGGACAAGTGCTCTCCACACCTCTAAGATGGCAGGCACCATCTTGCATTGTCGCTGCTGCTGCTCTGCCCCTGCTAATCCTGCTCTTACCCCAGATCGAACCAAAGGCTGGCCCCCATCGCAGCACTGTACGCAAACTCGGAGCTTTTCTGTGGCTTTGAACATTGGGTTTGTAAAGAAAGGATGCTTGACCCTGCAGCTTTCCTCAAACAGCAAGGCCTCACGTAGTACATGGGTACAGTGATTGGAAAGGCTGTACATACAGTTGTTTGTCATTGGCCCCTTTGCCCTAGGTGACACAGCACTGAGCCAAGAGCCAAACAAATGAGCAGCTACTTCAACAGGCCTCGCGGAAGAACCATCAAACATGTGCTGGCAAATGTTCTTGATCAATTATGAGAGGGCTCAAGACATATCTGGATATGACCAACAAGCTTAGCTACTTAATGGAAAACTAAAATGGTTCAGAACCTGAGGAACCAAACTCCATGCCAGTGCTGACAGGTAGGAACCGCCAGTAGAGGGTCTTGGGTTTGTGGCTCTACACTCGGGTTACAGCTTCCCCAATCCGAGCACATCAATTTCCCCACCTTACAAGGCATGAGGGGTCGCCGCAGATCGCCAACACGTCTTTGTTGGCACGCCACTCACAAACCGTGGATGCAACACCACACACTGCCGTATGGCCTGCATGACTTGATCCGACCGCGCCCCCGAATCTGGCACCTCGGCCAGGTAGATGACATAGTCAGTCACCTCGCGAGCTGAAGCACAAAAGAGCTGTTTCAAGAAGGGAAACTCCGGTTTAGCAAATTGAATGTCCTCTTCAGATTGCTCGTTTCATGTGTAAAACCATGGAGAACCGCGATTCTAGTCTTGCCCTTGCGGAAAAAGAAATAGAGGTACTCCAGCTCGTCGAAAATGGGCCTGGCTTGATTGGGAGCGCGTGCATATCTGACCCACCACAAAGTGGTGCAGGCCAAGTACTTACATGGAGATCAAGAGAGACCCAATCAGGAAAGCGAACCAGGTTGACGCAAATACTGCAGTAATGCACAGAAATACAGTCCCTCAACTGAACCCTGACTGGCCATCGGCGCTTAAGATTGTCAAGGTCAAATCGCAGCAAGCAGGATGCTTATCTAAAATCAAGCAATGTCACAAGAGAGGATTCTTCATGCTCGGAATTTGAATGATCTATCAATCAGCTCAGCATTGCAACCCTGCTTGCATTCAGCACCGTTTCATTGGTTGCACTCCCCTATTTTTTGCATGTCGGGCAATGTGCAACGCGACCAACCCGCGCCTACCAGAAGGAGAGAAAGAGAGAGCCAGAGAGCGCGAGAGAGAGAGAGAGACAGACCAAGACTCGGCCATTTGAGACAGTAACTTTGGAAAACAGCAGCAGAAACTCAACTATGCGACACACGAAAGCACAAGACCGACCTAAAATGGCCGAGGGACGCGCAGCTAGCAGTACGATGGCCAGAAGTGGCATGCTGTCCCCACTTCTCGAGAGGGTTCATTGTCAAACATGTTGCCAGCACTGACATGGCTGTGTCCATTTCTTGGGGACCCCCAAAACGGTGGGTGTCCTGTTGGTAGTCCTTTAAAACCAGAAAAAGGGCAGCCCCCCACAAAGCTCCAGTGACCATAGCAGAGCTTCGAATCGACTGCAACAAATCACCAGAGCGACTGGACGGGGCTGCCGAGGCATTCGCTTCCACGTGGCCAAGGATTGTGATTCCGAAGTAACTTGACTCAGTTACCCAAGGGAACAAATGGCTAACCTGGGGCCACTCCAAAAGCTCAAAAGGTTGATTCACTTTGGACAAAGTAGGCCCCTTAAGGGACCGTATCACAGAGAAAGGCAACCTCCAGCACCCCCCGCAACCACTTTTTGGACTGTATGTACGTACTTCTGATTCTGGACATGATTCTTCATGCAAAAATCAGTTGTTTGGGGGTGTGCAACCTGAAGCCACCGGTTTTTGCCCCCGCCATGGCCCGGAGTTCCGAGCCTCGCTGAAGTCTGCCGGAGCCAGCCAGGACAAGTTGCCGCCGATCTCCCCGAGGTCCAGATCCTGGCGAACGGGTCTGGACCTCAAAATGGGTGGCTCGTCTTTTTTTGGGGTGCCCCTGTTGGGCTTTGAAAGGAAGCCAAGAAGAAAACCACCATCTTTTTGGGGGGGGATCTCTAACACAAATACACACAAATAGGGATTCTTGAGAATGACAACGGTTTCCTTTTGGATTCCCTTTCAACCAACGAAAAGGGGCCCAACAATTAGAGAAACGTCTATATTATAACTCCTGGATTGATGTAGAACCAGGCGGGCTCAGGGTGGGATCATCTCTAATATACCCGTATTCAGCGGGGGCAGGGGTGGATGGTCTCTTCTGTCCGAGTTGGAAGCTGCCCTTTGGAGCAACAAAGGGCAGCCATGGTGGCTCAGGAATTCAACCGCTGATTGCTTTTGTTTTCATCCATAGCATTGCCGGCCTACTTGTCAATCAAAGGTCAACCTTCTGGACGCGGCTTCCATTGCGACATACCACAGAATCCTTTCCCGAAAGCCATCAGTCTTTAAAGGTGGAACCTTTTCTATGCCACCTCCCTTGACCGAAACGTTGGTCTCCAGGTACGTGATTGGCTAGTTAGTGAAAGCCGGAGGAACACCCCAAATGGCGAGCTATGGTCACTTGGGATCCCGACATCGTCCACGAAAGAGACATTGTTGGCGCGAGAAGCTTCATCTTGGATTGCCAAGAAGGCTGGCGTGGTCCTCAGTCCGTGGCAAACCTGTGGGACTGAAACATTATATCACATAATATTATATATGACACCATCTGAGTTGGAAACCAATTAGTGGCACCGATTCTAAGAAATGACAACAAATGGTTTGTGTTGCTCATGTGCCAGTCTGCAAGGTCCAAGAATTGGAGTGGGGGAGATTGGCTGGTTGCTCAACTTCTTGCGTCACCCATCAAGGGCACCTGTGCTAAAGGGGTCAAATTAGCTAGCGGCCAGAAACGCACAGCTGCTAAAAACCCGGGATGAACGTGGGTGTAACTTTCCAAGTCGTAGGGAAGATCCGCACCTGTGCTGCTACCTACCGCTTTGATTGTGGCTCCGCAAAAGGCAAACGGCTAGAGACACACGGATGGGTTGGGCATGGCTTCAAAAAGTTTCGCTCACGCCCTGCGACCCTTTTAACAGGGAGCAAAAATAATGCAATTTAAACCAAACTGGCTACAATACAGGCCCAAACAGTTCGAATAGGGACTAGACTCATCATAGAACAAATTACTTCATCACGGGTAAAACACGATTGTAACTCTTTCGCGCCTTGTCTTACATGTTTCAAAAGGGGGCTTTTCTTCAGCGAACGATCAAGGGCCGGGTGTCTGTTCCACCAGCACCGAGCGGGTGAAGACGGTGAAGTGGCTGAAGTTCCCTCTGGGCGTGTTGGCTGGTACATCCAGTGAAAGAACCTGGCCGAACGTGTTCGTCCTAACAGTGGCTCTTCCGGCGTGGCGGTGCCTTTACGGGATCTCCAAAATGGCTTCAAAAAGGGTACCCTCCAAAAGACACACCCGTAACCTGGATGGGGTTTGAGTGAGCCAGTGGCCATGGAAAGCGAACTCCTTGCCGGTAGCTAATTTTGAAGGGTAAACAAGAAAAAAGTACGTAACTCGGGTGGAAGGCACACTGTTTTGGGTAGGATTACCACGAGCATCACAAAGACTCGATCCTTGACCAATGGGTATGGCCTTTGGTGAGGTATCCGTTTTGGATTTTCTTCACAGGGATCCCAAAGGAAAACCATTTCGTTTTGAGGGAGTGGCCATGGGAACACTTTCTGGTACTTGATGTCTCAGTGGGAACCCCTCACCAAATTGACGCAAGGGCCACTGAGGTCCCGCCTGAGGCATCAGCGCGTCGCCCAGTTGTAACCGGCCCGTGCCTGCTGCGCCTCAGCTCTTGAGCCACGACGCGATCCTTTTTGTCCCCATGTTTTTGACCCTTGGCCACGAGGAAATGGGTGTGGGTCAACAATAGGTACACAAAATGGGAACCTGGTAAGTGGAAACATGGACGAAAACCTGCGGTCCCCTGGTGGTTTGATTTTGACCCATACCGCATGGTTTTAGCTTCCCAAAATCTGACACTTGGACAAGGGCAAATTACTTTGGGTTCACCAAACTGCTCTGTTTCCACGTCGCCTGAAGGGGTCCTCCCAAACGGAAACGAACAACTCCTTGTCGCCGCGTCGCCTGTGGCCAGGTAGGCCAAGTACGCGTCCACGCGGCTGGTGTCATTGGGGGGCAGCCAGGACAGTGTTCCGCCCAAGTCGCTGAAGTCGAGGTCCTAAGGTCCACGGCCAATGGGTTTGTCTCAAAAATGGAAAAGGGCGGATCCCTGTTGGCTTCCTAAAAGAAACACACAGTCACATCCAGGCAGAGAAATAAAATGGCCAAACCCATGGACGGAACTGCCCCTCCAATCACCCAGGTTTGGGATCAGCTGGAAATAAGGGAACCCTCCAGTACACCTTGCGGTTTCGCGAATCGGTGAGTTCCACGTGTTGTCTACGGTGGACTAAAACGTCTTGGGGACCCCTGCGTTTTGAGTCTAGAAGCCCAAAAATCGAAGTCTGGGCATTCGGGTGATCCTCCAGGTGTCACTGGATTTCCGCATTGTTCCCCCTTTTTTGCTGATGGCTTCCACGAATTGCCACTAAAGGTTCCGAAATACTGTGGATGGACGCAATCCTGCACCACCTAAGAAACCATGGGAAGCCATATAGTTTCCATATTGTTTGCTGGTATTTCCAGGGAATGGATTCCGTCCAGTAGAAAATGGAGGACCCCCCGTCCTGGCCCAGGAAGCTCAAGGCCGACACGGAGGCGTCCGCGTCCGCGATGAGCAGCGCCCTGGGGAAGCTCTGCTCCGCAAGGCTCGAGGCCGCGTAGATGAGGAAGTGGCTGAAGTTCCCGAGCGCCTGGGACGGCCATGGGATTTTCAAAATCCCAATCGATTAGCCCCCAGTGAACAGCCGATTCAAACCCCACTAACATAGGTAACTGGGTGGTGCACCTACCCGCACCTACCCCAAGATGGTACCATTGGTTTTGAACCACAGCCGTATTTCTGGCTTCGAAATACTGTGGATGGACGAAATCGATTTCGAACCACCTAAGGACCTAAGCAACCGTGGGACATAATTGTTTGTTGGTATTTACAGGGGAACCATGGTTCCAGGTTTTTTAAGGTGGTGCGGAATCGTTCATCCACAGTAGGGGGATCCGGGTGGGCAGGGGTGCACTTTGCATTTTTGATTTAGGCAACTGTTTTGTTGGGTTTGCGTCTGCAACAAAACCCTCTACGTGTCCATGGCCTTGGGGGGGGGGATTGGATCCATTTTCCTCAATCCGTTGGGCACAAGGGAAACCATCTGGCGTAAGGATCTTGTGTATTGATTTGGGTACGGTTCTTATTTGGGGACCCTTTGGTGGGCATCATGTTGGTGGCTATTCATGTCCAACAACCGCTGTTGAGAGAAGGACTTTAAGCAGGCAGAGTACTTGGCAAGTGGTCAGCAATCATTCCTTAGCCTTTAACCCACTTACTATGGTAAGTAACCCTTGGTAAAATACATCTAGAGGTCGGTCACGGGATTTGGCCATCCAGCACGGGCCATGACCTCAGGTCGCTGGAGACAAGCAATGCGAAAACCAAGCTGGCCCCAAAAAGAAGGGCAACCTGACCAGGGAGTCGGGGCGCCTTTGTAAAGATGCATGGACTCACACCTTCAAATACTTTTTCTCTACTGGCCGCATGTTGCACAGGCAAACTGTAACCTTATAAAAGCTTACCTGACACCAACCGGGGCACCGTCTCTGGTGGCAGCGTCACCATGTCGCCCGCTGTGGTGGCAGCAAAGCGACGACACCAGTTGAGGCTTTCCTCAGGCCCCGGGCTCAAGCAAGCGGAGGTACCTCGACCCCTTTTATTCCCCCTACAAATTAACCCCAAAAAGGGTGTCCGAAAGGAGCTCCTCATAGCTCCTCAAATAGTGGTTTTTGGGGTTCCATGTTAAACTGTAGTCACTGCAGGGGAGTGGGAGTATAGTACCTCTCAAACTCCTTTTTCTCTTAGAGTACTTCAGGACCTGGGAACGGAACCAGTTGGACTCGCCCTGCCGACAAATTCGTCACTTCAATTGGCAGGTTCCCTGGTATCATTGACCGAAATGAGCCATTGAAGCAAAGCAGGAAGAGGCATCCGCGGAGAAAAAACTCAAGCCCCTCCCTGTTCAACAACCTCATCTTCAAACAGAACAAGGCAGACCTAGAACGTAGGATAGCATTCCAACGGCCGGAAAAGCAAACCAACAACTCACACTACCCCTGACTGTATATAGTAAGATCCCCAAGTGTCGGACATTCTCACAATGCTTGGTCTGTGTGTGTGTGTGTCCGTCCTGGGTTGATTCTGTCAGTACTTACAACAAGGGCGATTCCCAGTTTCGCAAAAAATGGACAAATACTTACAAAGTACCCACTCTGACAAACATTTTCACGGTCAACTGGATGATCCTTCCGGATTGAACAAGATGCGGCAGGGATGTGTGAACTCCGAGGTATGTGTCACTCGGGCGCGCGCGGTTGTGTGTGTGTGTGTGTGCGTGTGAGGGTGCGGGTGCGGGAGCGCGTGCGAGCGCATTTACGCGCGCACGTGCATGGGTGGGTGCGCGCGCGTGTGTGTGTGTGTGCGCCGGTGTGTTGGCGTGTTTGCGTTTGTGTTGTTGTGTCTGGTTCTCCGTGTCGCTGTGTGTTTGTGTGCTTTGTGTGTGTGTGTGGGATTGCGTTTGCGTCTGCGTTTGCGCTTGGGCTCGGGCTTGTGTTTCCTTTTGTGTGTGTGGGCGTGTATGCGTGTGTGTGCCACTTGGGCGAATGATGCAGTGCAACAGCTTTGGCAGTTTCTGCTAGTTGGGAAAAGGGCCACGTGCATGAGAACACCTTTGGGGGAGGCTTTGTTTGGGTTCCATGCTCGTTTCCCGCAGACACAGGAATCCGTTGCGATGGCACCAACAGACACGTCTTTTGCCCAGGTGCCGAGAAGACCGTGCCAGTGTAGTCCGCCAGCTGCCGCGCCCTTGGATCGTCTGCTTACTTCCAGCTGGCTGTCGCTTGCCAAAACTGTTGTTCAAAATGAGCGAAGCCTCATGGTGGTTGGTTTCCTCTTGTTCCCGTTTAAACCAACCCCAAACAGCCAGCCCTAAGAAAACCGGCAACCAAATGGCCCATTCAAACCCAAGAGCCGGTTGATGGACCACTGCCTTGGCTTTCTCACAGGCCCAGCTGTGCTGTCGCACATTTTCCAAACAGCCCCTCCCTCCCGGCTGGTTTTTGAAGCCCCCGCAACATGTTTCACTGTTTGCTAGGTGCTGGGGATTGGTGCGGGCATACATCAGCGTCCCCCTCAATTGGTTCTTTGGAGTGGTGGGTTAGTGGTGTTCCGGGGTGGTGTCCCATGTACTCACAAGAACTAGAGGTTCAAAATGCAACCAAACCCGCAATCCAATCCGCCAAGGAGGGGTTACCTGATCATCGCCATGGCTAAAGCCAGCAGCTTTTGACGCAACGTCAATCCCGGGCCGCACCCATCTCTGACAAGCCACAGCCGCCTTGTGCTATTCGAATCTGAATCGCTGGTGTCCTGGGAATTGGACGGCGGGACCCGTGAGCTGATCTTTGGGGCGCACAGAGCGTAAGATGTTCAGATTTCAGGTTCATATTTGGTCTACCCGAATATATAGCATAGTTTTGGAGGAAACTTCTGTGATGCTGCAGGGAAGCCCACCCCGCGGATAGAGTCCGATGGTGGGCCCAAACTCTTCAACAGGTCCGGGAGTCTTTCAAGCAACCTCCAACCTAAGCCCCCCCCCCCTCCCGGAAGTTCAACGATTTGGCCTATTCGAAGTGCCTTAGTTGGCCCAATATGCAAAACCGCGCATCCTGACACCTCTCAATGTGGGGTTCACAGCAGCAAACGCTCACAGTTTCAAGCTGCAGTTGATTTGCTCAAATCCTTCTAATGATATCAACAACTCATTACACCAGCCCAAGAAGAACGCATCTTCACCGAAAATGGCGCATGCCCCTGATGAAAAAAGAACGCATCTCAATGTTGCGACATCAAAATCCGGCGATGGTCGTACGATGGCGCAAACAGGAAACGCGGAGAAACCAGGCACAATCACATGCAAAGGTGGCAAGATTGGTCAAGCGCTGTCTCCTCGTCTGAGTAGTCGCTCTGATTCACCTATGCCAGGCACCAGGTGTGGATGAGAGGATCAACAGGTCCAAAGGCTGCAGTTGACACTTGCCGGTTACCAGAATGGAAATTGAAAGCACCGCAAGGACTTGCAGGGTTGCTCTTGCTTTTTTGAATGGGCCATCGAAACGTTCACTGGCAATTGTGGCAAATGAGCCGTGAGCTTGATGCTGGCGATGTTGAGCACGTGCTTGCGTGAGGCCGTCCCGTGGAAGAATGGTGGCAACGGCAGTGAAACTATGTGTCTCATGCAGACCTTGGAGAGAATAAACGGTTGCAACATACTGCTCAACTTCAACAGCGTGGCATCAATTCCTCACTAAACAATTATCCTAGAGATGAGGGCTTTCAACCAAATATTTGTGGGTGTGACTGGGTGTCCCAGCAAGACCTACCAATCCGCCAGGCTTAAGCGTCCTACATTCGGCCGAAGACTCACTTCTCACACGCTCCGAGGCAAGTGCTGAGGCCAGCAGGGAGTCAAAGAACTGCACCAGGTAAACGGTGTCCACCACATCCATGGACAGCCGAGAGAACCTGACAGCCGAGCCAGCTCAAAACAAAAAATCCGTCGCTGGCAGCTCAAAACTGAAAATATGTCTCTGTCCTTCGGACTCCACTAAAACATGCATACGGGAACTTGATCCTCAAATCAAGCTCGATCTTCCTACAGGAAGGTAGAATCGCACAAACTGATGGAGGGTCATTCTGCAAGCCAAGAAATATCTGAAAGTGAATGCATGCAACATCCGACAAACATCTAAGAACATCGCACAAGCAACATCAGTTTAAAAAGCGGCAATAGGCTTTCTATTTTCACCTGTGCATTTGATCGCAATTAGGCACACGTGCGTTTTTGCTTGCAGCTGGTATGCGTTTGCATCGCATCTTACATTAGACAAGTGACTTGCTGGAAGACTTATTTCAAACACGGGGGATGTGAGACAACTCGGGACACCTCCAAATAGTTTGTTTCCGTCTGAACACAAACAAACAAGGCCTTCCGTTTCAACAGGAACAAGGGAATCCCAGGTATGGCAATATGGGTGAGATTCTTCCCGAGTGATCAGCAACATATTCAAGAAACTGAGCAGGCTGTTCTTCGCCTTGGCGCTCAGTGTCATCCAGCATGTGTCAGCTCGCAAACCAATCCCGACACACACACACAATAACTGCGCACACACAAAGAAACTGCAAACACCAAAACAAATGAGAACCCTGCGGGATGTGTCCTCTTGAGTTGCATTGCATGTGTGCACTCTATAGCGTAAACTAAAACCAATGCTCATGAACTGGAATCTCTAAGCAAGGGACATAACCAGTTGGGCCCACTCAAAAAGGAACAAACAATTGGAAGCGCCTCGGTTCTCAAATCGTTCGAGGCAAACCAAGGTAAGCCACTCAGTCTACACATCACCCTAGTCATTCGGCGGCTTTTGCTTTCCGCCCCCCGGGTCAATGTGTCTCAAAGGCCGCAGTCATTGGGGTCGTTCTTTGCCGGGCCACGAAAGCATGCTGAAGCTGGAGTCGAGCACCTCAAGTGAGAACAGCACCATGGGGAGATTTCTCGTTTGTGTAGCTGTTGCGTGTTTGCTGCTCTCGCCCAGCTGCTCGTCCAAATAGGTTCCAGAGTGGTTTGGAGCGGCAATGGGCGTTTTGGAGTTCCGAAGGTTCGGGGTGCAGTTGCTGTTGGGGATGAAACTGCTTCTTTGTCTTCGATCGGTTGATTTGAACAAGGTATGTCATACTCGAAAAATTGGGCGTGAAGGGATCCCACAACATTGATGGGCCTAGTTCCAAAGGAACTGTTTTCCGTGAAGAGCACAGAAGCCACGAAACTGGAGCCAACCAAGTAGCACCGGAATCAGACAAGTCAGACCAAAATCATCAGCGCCTGCCCATGGACCAGAGACCCCCGTATGAGTATCAAGCGGAAGAACCGCCCTGGGGCGCCGGGTTTGTTTTGTTGGCCAAGGCGCAGAACTTGGAACACCCACCGCCAGCAGCTTTGGCCGCAGCAGGGCCCCGAAGTCACTTGGACTTTGGCTCCAGGTGGCAGCCAAACCTTGCTCCACGCATTGGCAAACATAGGGCGAAAGGAGCCAAGTTGGGACCCTGGGAACCATTTGTGTCATCTAAGAGGATCACCAAACGGGAATGTTGCATCACTCTAGGGCTGACTTCCCTGGTCCCTGTTGGGAACAGTATGGAACAGTAACAACATTGTAACTGGCCGATATCGGAGCCTTCCTTGCTGGCGGAGCCGCCCATAACACCAAGCGCCGAGACAACTCTCAGCACCTGGTCTGTGGTTGTGCTAGCTAAAGCAACAACACTATGTTCATGAAGATCCCTGCACAAAATAATGGATATAGCAAATTCCTCCCCTTTTAAACGCAAAGCTACAGGTCTGAGCGGACCCATGGCCTTTCCCGTCGGACCCCTTTTTCGCGCATGAGATCTGAGTTGAGCCCTTAGCCTTGTGGCTCAGACTCGACAAGTGCAGGGGCCACTGGTGTGAAGGACCCCCTTGCAAGAATTTGTCCACATGCAAAGTAGTTTTCTAAGGTGTCTGCGCA